TTATAAAGTTTAACCTACAGAGATGTCTGCAAGCGAGACATGAGAACCACGGGCATTGAACAAAGTATGTGGAAGAAGATAGCCCATGACCGGACAGCATGGAGACAGACTGTACGTGCTGGTACGAACCTCGCACGAACTGTGGCAAACTATGCTTCTCCAGAATTAGCTTGATCATTCAATGATTCTGCCCCGTCTCAAGACGAAACCAAAGCCAGTGACTCATCTGGGCGCATCCATTGTCTTCCGAGACAGAAGGAGCCATATATATATATATATGCGTGTTGATAGATAGATAGATGGATAGATAGATAGATAGATAGTTATCTATGTTAAGTGGATGTAATCAAACGGGACCTCAAAGCAACGAATATTAATACTGATTACTGGGAAAACATAGCCCTTGACTGCACTGTATGAAGAGAAATGGTGACCAAGAATGCTATGGACAACAAAGACATGGGCGTTAGTTTAGGAAGGAGAGCTTGCGAAACAAAAGAATGGCAGACTCCTCTACCACCAAAGCAAAAGCCACCTCAACGATATATGTGGACGGATTTGGATGTCTACAGAATAGGGCTCAACAGTCACATGACATAGTGTCTTACGAGGTGAACCATAGTTGTTACGACTGAAGGAGGTCAGCAAGATAGACAGATAGATGGTGAGAGAGAAAGAAAGAGAGAGAGAGAGAGAGATAGTCGTGAAACTTTTTTTTAAACCTAAGTCTTAATAATATTGTGTCTAACAAAGGGTAGCAATATATATGGCAGTGATCATTACGTTGTCCTGGGCTGTGAAACAATGAAAACAGTAACAAACTCTTTTTGTGAATTGCATTGACACACATATAAAAGTCGAAGTGTATTCATTGCAAATCATTGTTTATAATATAAGGCATTAATCTTTAGGTTTGATCAGTATCCGTTCGATCAGTGGGAAGCGTGGTCGAGAGACTAAGTACGTTTGAACTAGCCTGGGCTTGGCTACCTATGAAGGGGGCTCAAGGTTCGACACCGACTCGAGCAGAGTTGTATTTACTGAACGGCACGGAAAACCATCTCCCAGATACCCCCTCCCTCTCACTGGTCCAAAAATGAGATTGGACAATAGTGCTCTGAGCATGCTATAAGCATGAAAGTAACGCTGTATAAAAGCTATAATTGTTAGCTCTAGAATGTGCTAAGTTATGTTGACAATCTCTTACAATAGAATGTGACAATGTGACACAACCTCCCCCCCCCCCCACACAAACTATCCATCAGTATTATTTTTTTTAAAATTTAGAATCATATATCATAATATACTTTTATATCGTATACTCTTGTTAAACGTATAGGCCTACGCATATACTTTTTTTTTTATACCCTTATACTTTTTTTATATACTTTCCTCTCTTCTATTCAGTGGAAAAGCAACCAAGGCGCGAAGGAGTTTATATCGCCTGGGACAGGGGCCCTATAAACTGATTGGTTTGGCTGTAAGAGTTTAGATGTATCGCCACCCCTTTGACCGCCCCCCCCTTCCCCTTCGGAGGGAGGGGGCGGACGAATTTTGGTAAAGAAATCACTCAATTTATATTCGAATTTATTAGTGATGTTAATAATATATACTAATTATTAATATTCAAACCTATTTTTAGATTATTTTGCCCCCCCCCCCCCCAATTAGTGTGTTGGCCGATTCGGTGGGGTAGGGAGGTGGTGATGCCATCAATGCCGCCCCACCCCACCATAAACTTTCGAGTGGGGGGGGGGGCGATCCAATTCATGTGTAGAAATCACAACTTGTTAACAGAATTAATTAAATATCTATATAATTAAAACTTTTTATTGATATTTTAACCAATCTTTTTATTATGTCATTCCCCTGTTAGCCGATTGAGTGAGGTGAGGTGGGGGGTTGAATAAATCTACTGCCCTTCCCACGTAAATCCTTTGAGTGGGGGGGGGGGGGAAGGTCCTACTTTTAATTAGAAATCGTAGTTTGTGAACAAAATTAGTTGAATATCTATATAATAAAAGCTATATATTGATATTTGAACCCATTTGTATATTATGTCGCACTCACACTGATCTTAAAGTTTATCATTAGTAAATTTTAAAATAAAAAAAGGGTTGTACTAGGTGGGAAGAGCGATACATGCAATCGCCTTCCACCCATCGGACAAACCAATACTTTTTTTCTTTTGCTTTTTAGTTAAGAAATTACAAAATTTAAAAAAAAAAGGCCAATAATATAATTAATATGTGCTATAAATTAAATTCTTATATCGAGTCGCCCCACCCCTATTTTTTAGTGCCAAATGCAATCGTTAGCAGAAACTATAAAAAGGAGCGAGGATTAATTAATCGTTTTAACTCTACCGCCCTCTCCCCTTTTTAACAAAAACATGACGTTTTAAAACAGAACAGTCACAAATATGGCGACAGAGTTTCTGTCATTGCACACGAATTTATCATAGTTATTTTAAGAAAGACATAGTGATATGTTTCTTATGTATAGATAAATTTGGGACCATAAAATACAATATATACATGACTCCTATTCCGATTCTAAGTTTGTGTTTCCACACAAACTGTCTGTGTAACCTTGTTTTTTTAACTCTTTCTCTCCGTAATTATTTACCAAATTCTGGTGGAATCAACGTTGGTATCGTCAGTTAGGAGAGAAAGAGTTAAGGCTTTAACAAGGAAAACAAAAAAATACTTTTAACACAACTTATAGTGTCGTTGTATCAATTAGTTTGGATCCCTTCATGTGATTATATCTCTCTTAACTCTTTCTCTGCTAATCGACGATACCATCGTTGATTTTGACCTCATAAAATTAAATTAATGTTTACTTTTTTAAACTTGACTTTGAATTATACAAAAAGAGCATGCATTTCCCTTTAATTCTATACCAAATACAACAGTTTCTGATAACAAACAACAAAGCTATTGAAGCCCAATCATAACAGGGGTAGTGAAATAGTCATGAGCAAAATGAAGGATTTCTTTCGAAACGTGGAAGAAAAAGTACGGAGAGAAAGAGTTAATAACCTAGACCTAATAAACCTGTGTGATTAGAAATATTTTAACCACTTGTTTTTATTTAGGTTGTAGCTTGCTCAATGCGCTATGACCCTATCACTTTCTCAATGCGCTATGACCCTATCACTTTCTCAATGCGCTATGACCCTATCACTTTCTCAATGCGCTATGACCCTATCACTGGGTCTGGACCAATGGTGAAAAAGGGATAAAGGAATGGGACATGGGGGGTGGGGGGTGCCTTAGTGAATGTTTACAACATGATCGTTTTTTTGAATGCATAACAAAAATGTTTACTCAGGTATCAGGACTCCTCAAGGGGACAAATTCAACATATACCACCACATCTGTCAAGTACGAATTCTTTCCCTTGTTCAAAATACCTAACTAAATAATTAATTACCAATAGTTAATAAAGTAATTGGTTTATTCTTTTTATTGATTCTTGTGTTTTAAGGTAAAATAAATAATTGTGTCAAATTTCAGCTCAATCCGAGATAGGGTGAGTGAAAAATAGCGTGTGCATACTTTTTAGAATACAAAGTGAGTTCATATAAGCTTTGTAAAAAAGAGTGGTTAACATCTCCAGCTTACAGTATGTCAGTGTAGCCCTTATTTTAGTTCACAATAATTGTATTTATATACATTCAACAAAAGAACTTAATTACTATTTTTCTAGTTTGCATATATATTTATAAGTCTTTGTCGGAACGTTGCCAAATGATTGAACCTGGGAATATCTTGGTTAAGCTTTAAGCTTTTTGATTACCTAGGTCAGTATTCTGAACTAATAATTTCTAGTTATTAAAGCCTTTAAGATCTTTACTGTATACTATCACACCTATAGATCATAAGGTAAGATAAAAATATTGATTGAACTGTTTCATATTAGTTAATAGCTCACAATTGAAATCAGTGTACCCCTTTGTTCAGAATTCCACCAGGTAGAAAGACTTATAGTAAAGGGGGTGGGGTGGGGGATCAACTACCTCTGAAGTCATTTATGGGCTATAATAGTTACAAATAAAATTGGTTGGCACCAGAGGAGATCCTAGAAACGGTTTTACCCGTTTTATTTATTGCCAGAGTACTTTAGGAGGAATTGTCCCCTCCTGCAACTGCTGCCAATCAGAATTCATCTTAAGTTTCACTTTCGGAATAAACGTTTATGATGATATCATTTCCAGTGACAATAAAGTTGATTAGAAGCAAGACATGCTCCAGTAGCTGTGATTAGCAGAATATCTAAGAGTGTTCTCTCACGTTGTTTAGCCAGCTTTTCTTTGGACCACACTTTCTTTGTGCTTTCACCACTGTAACTTAAAGGGTTAGGGTTTCACCAGTGCGACGTGTCTTACAAAACGACCAAACCAGCTCAGCTCTAATCTCTACGCAGTGAGAAGTTCCTCCTTTTGGCTACCCCATCTTAAAATAAACTTTCCCCAAAATTAGTACTTATTTAATTTTGTCGATAAACAGAAAAAAACAACAACAGCTCATTATCTAGATTCATTGCGAATGTTTCTTTCATTATTTTTTTTTTTTAAAACTTTCCTTGCTTTCTGATATGTTATCGTCTACGTTGATTGTTTGACGTGGTGTGGGTGGCACCCACATTACACCTGGGTGCACTCAGAAGCGTCCAAAGATCCCGAAAATAAAAATCCCAGTCTTCGATAAGAATTGAGCCCGGGACCACCGATTCGGAAGCCAAGCACTTTACCACTCAGCCACCGCGTCTAATAACAAAGTCTTACTGAAAATATTTTAATTTTGGGAACATTGTTGTTTCCCTTGGTTCTATTCAAACCTGCAATCATAAATACTTGAAATACAAGTTTTGTCCCTTGAAAAATAATTTGACCTCACAGCCCATCTCTCTCCGTTAGTCAAGACGTCTCGCTGCCCCTTCCTCCAGTTTGAGAAACGCTGCATTACAATTGAGCAAAGAGAACAACTAATGTGATGTTTTGTTTTCATATTTTCTTTATTAAGATGATTTATGACCTATACAATGCACACTTTATTAAACTATATGCATACTATATCTGTTAAATAATACGTCTGTTGTGGTATACTAGAAAAAAAATATGCGTGTGACATTTTCTTTTATTATATAGTAATATCAGGGAAGGCCTTGGTGAATAGGGTGGTGCCAAATGAAAAAGAAAAACAAAAAAAAAATTAAGACCGAAAAATAGGTAAAGAGTTATAAACCGGCCTGTAATCTATATCTAAATCGACTTATAAGTTAAATTCATATAGCGCCGATAGTGATAATCTACTTAATGAGCTATTCATGATCACCAGGCTAGATATAAAGTTTCGACATTTCACCAAAGGGAAGAAACAATGGTCTTCGAACATATGTTACCTAACAAGTGGATCTAAACATCTAAGAATAAACATTAGATCATAAAAGAGACTTACAACTAGACTAGCAGACATGGTGTCATAGAGTTCTGATAAGTTTGAGATTTGATCCATAATTCCCAGGCGGATGCATACTTTTCCTTAGGCTGTAGCCAGCCCTGGTGGTATGCTTACCATGGAAGTGAATTGAAATGAATAACGCAGTGTGTTATATAACTATGGGTGTGTCCTCTTGTAAAAAAAATTGATGACTTTATTTAGGTCTTGTATGTAATGACTATAATACACATGAAAGTGTCTTCAACAGTGTACATTTACTTTGTTACATCAACAGAATTTCAGTTGGAAATCAGCGCCGGTCAGTCGAACACGTTCGCGTTACAAGAACCGGCACTGAAGGGTCAACTGCAGTCAGTCCTATGTACAGAGGAGCCTGAGAGTGACTAGCATTGGTCTTCACTTGGCTCACGGAGTTTAAAAGATGGAGTTAGATATGAACAAATAATAATAATAATTTAAAAAAAAACGCTTTTTTAAAATGTAAAACTTATCTAAGGAAAGAACAAACACATAAATTAATTATAAATAATTAATAATTAAATAATTAATTAACTTTTTAATTGATTCATGTTTTGTTAGGTACAATAAATAGTTGTGGAACTTTTTAAGTTGATCCTAGAATTTGTATGGAAGAAATAAGGTGTATCTTCGGGAGCTAAACCTCATTGATTTACCCATATCGCTTTACACTGAAGGATTAATTTGTCTTTTTTTTGGTATCAAACGAAAAATAATAATCATTACTAGTAATTATTAAAACTTTAACAATCATTTATCGTACCTAACCTAACCTGTCAATAAATTATTAATAATTAAATTAATCTATTTGATATCATATAATGGAAATAACTTCTGCATTATTAATATGTATAGTTGTAAAGAACTTTAAACTAGTAGTGTAATTTTGATACTTAATGGAAAATTGCATCTTGTTGTTCAACATTGATTGCAAATAATTTTATAGTTACGACACTGTCATAAGTAAAGTCCAAGCTTTCTCCAAATTGAGATTATTTTGTGCTACAAACAATAGAGCTTAAAAAATGGGAATCTAGTCGTACTAGAAATTGCAATCTTATAGCTTTTAAAAAAACATGCTTTATCAACCATTTCTTTATTTTGTAAACCGGACACACTAACAAAGCTAGCTAAATATAGAGCTCTCCCGACATGAATAAAAAAAAAAGAAAATCTTCCAAGTGGTACTTAAAGAATACCTACCAAAAAAAAAAAAAAGTTGGCCATCTAACTCAAGAGTTCTCTGAATCGAAAAAGAATTATAACGACAATGGCAGGAACAGAGATGAGGAAAGAGGGAGCTTTGACGTCTGCTACACCGCCAGTGTAAATTATCCTTCTAGTTGCTGGAGGTTCCGGCTTTGAGGTGGCCAGAGGGATAGGGTTCAAGTCAATGGGTATGTTACTCTCGTGAAATTCTTCGATTGATTCTGTCACTTCTGGAGTTGTTTCACTCACTTCAGGAGTTGTTTCACTCACTTCTGGACTTGTTTCACTCACTTCAGGAGTAAGCGTTGTTTCAGATGACATAAGTTCTTCTGTCATTTGAGTTTCTGTGGTGCTGTATATTTCTGTTGTTGTAGTAGATGGGGATGATGTTGTGGTTTCTGGGGTGGAAGTTGTTGTTGGTGACGTGAAGGTGGCCTGTGGTGCTGTCGTTGTTAACAAAGAAGTAGTGGTTGTAGGCGTAGTAGTGGTTGTTGTCGGTGAAGTAGTAGTTGTTGGTGTTGTTGTTGTTGGCGTAGTAGTTGTTGTCAGTGTAGTAGTGGTTGTTGGTGTTGTAGTAGTTGTCGGTGTAGTAGTAGTTGTTGGTGTAGTAATGGTTGTTGGTGTAGTATTAGTTGTCGGTGTAGTAGTAGTTGTCGGTGTAGTAGTAGTTGTCGGTGTAGTAGTAGTTGTTGGTGTTGTTGTTGTTGGTAATGTTGTTGTTGGCGTAGTAGTAGTTGTTGGTGTAGTGGTGGTTGTCGAGGTGGTAGTGGTTGTTGGCGTTGTAGTGGTTGTCGAGGTTGTTGGCGTTGTAGTGGTTGTTGGTGTTGTAGTGGTTGTAGGCGTAGTTGTGGTTGTTGTTGTTGTAGTGGTTGGTGGAGTAGTAGTTGTTGGTGTTGTTGTTGTAGTTGACATTGTAGTGGTTGTTGGCGAAGTAGTAGTTTGCGTGGTAGTGGTTGTTGGCGTAGTAGTGGTTGTTGGTGTTGTAGTTGTTGTTGGTTTAGTCGTGGTTGTTGGTGTAGTGGTTGTGGTTGGCGTAGTGGTCGTTACAGTGGTTGTGGTTGTTGGTAAAGCTGAAAATAGAGAATAGTAATTTATATATTTTAAACATTTAAAATCATAAATGCCTTCACTTTATTTCGCAACTAGGCGACCAAAACTAACTTTATAACCTATTAGGAGATCATAGGAAACTCGCTCTTTATTTTCTAGAAGTGTGTTCCGTCACGAAGCTACATTGAATAAAATGTATAAGATAAGGTAAGATCATTTTTATTGGCCAATCAAAAGAATGTTAGAATCACATATTCTCTTCTAGGACCTTTGCAGCTATTAGAGCAATATTCGCATCAAAGTTTTATATAAAACGTTAGTAAAATTCCACTTACAGACTTTCTATGGGGCAGATGATGTAACTGTCATCTGCTTTTCTGGCTCACGGATAACGAGGGTGTCATGTGACCAGCACAAAGACCAAGCGCCTTTACTTTTCCCCGACTAATGTCAGGTACCTATTTGAGTTGAGTGGACTCAAAGAATTCATTTAGATCTATTTAATCACCGATCTTTCTATTTTCTATGGCAACATAACTTTTCATTTTAAACAAAAATGTGTAATGAAATAATGAAACGGGTCAAGATTTTTTACATTCTTTTACAAAGCGTATATCAACTCACTCTGTCTGCTAAAAGGTTATACATGTTATTTCTCCCCCACCCAATTTCTAATCACGCTGAAATTATGCACAATTATTAAGTTGAATAAGTCCTCTTTATACTTTGTAGAGAGAAAGATTAGGTTCATAAACACTTCTCTGGTGCAATAGCGAGTGATGTAAAGGCTTGAGGAGACTGAGTATGATTTAGCCCTAAATTATAATTCTGGTCGTTCAACTTTTTAAATATATAAATGCATTTAAAAAGCGATTACGGTAACATTTATTGGATATTCCTTTCTCCCCCCTCCCTTTTTTTCCCAACTGGTCCAGACAAGTGAGTGGATCAGAGCCAATTGAGAAACCTAAAAGCATGAAAGTGCACGAATAAAAAATCATTGGTTAAAATATTTGTAGTCGCACAGATTTATTTGTGTTAGTCTAAAATATTCTAGATCTATTACAAATTTAATTACGTGACTGATGCAAATTAATTGTTAAAATTACACATTTTATAAGCTTTTTTTGTTTTTTTAAGTATTTTTAAAAATATTTTTTCTTGTTAAAAAGTTTACAGCAACTTTAATCAACTCATTCTGTCTGTTTATTAAAAAGTTTATACACGTTTTTTTTCCCACACCCAGTCTCGGATCAAGTTGAACTTTGCACGTTGAAACTTTGCACAATTATTTCTAGTACCTGACAATACTAGAATCAACATGGGTACAAAGACAGTTTGTGTAGGAACACAAATTCATCATCGGCCTCCGAAGTGGTCCACCTAGGCAGGTAAAAAGGCAGGTTTCAATATTTTCAGAAAGAATATCAGAAGAAATTCTATCAAAGGCAAATGACCGAGTAGAATGGAGAAAGAAGGGTGACAGATCTTGTGTGGTGACCCAACGGTTCAGCAGACCAAAGGATAGGTGTAAAGTTCGACGTGAGCCTGGCCTAACTAATGGGATGTGATACTTGTCCAATGAATCTAATTGTTTTGTATAGGAGCCTTCTCTTATTCTTATTGTTTTAAATTATGTTCCACTTATATGCATATTAAATAATTTTTTTTGTAAATAAAGTAAAATTTTTGGGTTGTAAATATAGTAATTGGTTTGGTAGAACTTACTTAATTGAGCAATACATTCTAAAGCCATTTGCTTAAATGTGTTTAAAATATGGTAAATTGTCTTCTCCCTTACGAAATGGTGTATTGCTTCTGTTATTATTAATAGTGATTATTTGTAAATATGGTGTTTTTTTATGAAAAAAAAAATTGCTTGTATAGTTGATTTTAAAAGTTAAATTTTTCGCTTTCAGAAAATAAAATGTAGCCGTTGTAAGAGAGCTTTGAATGGTCTAAAATATCATGATGTTGGATTTTCAATATATTTTTTAGTTTACGAGATCTAAATGGGACGGACGGACTGACAAACAGACGACACAAAACTAATAGCGTCTTTTCCCCTTTCGGGGGCCGCTAATAAAAATAAAACAAACAAAAAAGTTAATTATTTTGTAGGAATTAATTATTTTGTTTGGTATCGTACAAGAGAAGGAAATCGTATCCGACAGATGTGGTGGTACAAGTTGAATTAGTTCCCTTGAGCGCTGAGTAATTTTTAAAAAATGTTTTGAGGTATTTAAAAAGCGATGACGGTAACATTGACACATAGATACCCCATTCTCCCCCCCCCCCCCCCCCCATCCTTTTTTCCTTTTCCAGACAAATAAGAGGACCTTAGCGCATTGATAAAGTTAAAAGCATGATATTGCGCTAAGCTCAAATAATTGGTAAAAATATTTCTAATAGAACAGATTTATTATTGTTAGTCTAGATTTATTACAAATTTGATCACATTACTAAATCAGTAAATATCAGATGTGTTTTTAAAAAGTATTCTTATTGTAGTCTTATTTACGATCCTTGTTAATGCTTGCGATTTCTTCCTGGATTCCAAACGTAAGCTTTATACTGGCTTGTCTTTAAGTAGAAAAAATATTGAGGAGGGCAGTGTTTCCCATGGCTTCGCAGCCCTAACAACGACTTACACACTTTTTCCCACCCAGTATATATATATATATATATATATATATAAATATATATATATATATATATATATATATATATATACATATATATACTTAATTCAACAATTGTATTTTACAATTAATATAAGTCGTTAGGTTGAATTATAGAAGACAATATCGCTTATCCGTATTCGACTTCTTATCGCTTTGAAAGTGAAACGTTCTTAGTTTTTCATATCACATATGTAGTAATAACAATTTACAAATTATTTTTTTAAATTTTGTATTTTAATCGCAATCGACTGCTAACTATTCTTAGCTTACTTACGTATTTCCATGCAGAGATATGAATTGAGTAGTCCACAGGAGTCCGAGTAAGCCACATAAGGCGTGCTCTGGCCGACGTAAAACTCGCCACAGTCCCAAGTGCTAATACCTCCGCTCGGTTCCCCTGAGGCCCAAAAGCTCCCTGATGCCATCGGATAGGCCGATTGTTTGTTGTGGTCCCAGATCCAAGTGCCTTCAACATCAATATCGTTAGCTCCAAACCAAACGTATATCCCTGTAACATGGATATGAACTCATAAAGAAGGTGTCTCTTTGGTCATGAGTTATGTTTTCTACATCTGCTTAGTCGTGTGGTTCGCTCTATAGGCTGTCGTCTGCCTAGTCGTGTAGTGTGCTCTATGGGCAGTCGTCTGCCAAGTCATGTGATATGCTCTAAGGGCTGACGTCTGCCTAGTCGTGTGGAATGCTCGATTGACTGACGTCTGCCTAGTCGTGGGGTATGTTCTACGGACTGACGTATGCCTAGTCGTGTGGTACGCTCTATAGTCTGTCGTCTGCCTAGTCGTGTGGTACTCTATGGACTGAAGTCTGTCTAGACGTGTGGTATACGCTTGGAATTACAATGAGCATGATTCTGAAAAACGTCTCTAACGATTTTCCTAAATTTTAAAGTTAAGTAAAAAGTCTCTAGCAATTTGACCTCCCTGACCTAAGTTTCAATTAGCCTAGAGTTCCATGACACATAGACTCAGCTTTTAGTTACACACTACACTCTACTTTGGTTACATACTACACTCTTCTTTGGTTACACACTAAGCTCTACTTTGGTTAAACACTACACTCTACTTTGGTTACACACTACACTCTACTTTGGCTACACACTACACTCTACTTTGGTTACACACTAAGTTCTACTTTGCTTATACACTACACTCTAGTTTGATTACACACTACACTCTAGTTTGGTTACACACTACACTCTAGTTTTATTACACACTACTCTTTAGTTTAGTTACACACAACACTCTAGTTTGGTTTCACTCTACACTCTAGTTTAGTTACACACTACACGCTAGTTTGGTTACACACTACACGCTAGTTTGGTTACACACTACACTCAAGTTTTAGTACACACTACACTCTAGTTTTATTACACACTACACTCTAGTTTGATTACACACTACACTCTAGTTTGGTTACACACTACACTCTAGTTTTATTACACACTACTCTTTAGTTTAGTTACACACAACACTCTAGTTTGGTTTCACTCTACACTCTAGTTTAGTTACACACTACACGCTAGTTTGGTTACACACTACACGCTAGTTTGGTTACACACTACACTCAAGTTTTAGTACACACTACACTCTAGTTTTATTACACACTACACTCTAGTTTGATTACACACTACACTCTAGTTTGGTTACACACTACACTCTAGTTTGGTTACACACTACACACTAGTTTAGTTACACACTACACGCTAGCTTGGTTACACACTACACGCTAGTTTGGTTACACACTACACTCTACTTTGGTTACACACTACATTCTACTTTGGTTACACACTACATGCTAGTTTGGTTACACACTAAACTCTAGTTTGGTTACACACTACACGCTAGTTTGGTTACACACTACAAACTAGTTGACCTACAACGTTGATAGTTTTAATGATATAGTCCACAGACTAAGAGCTCAAACACGTTCATAGGTCCAGGTGCCAGTTTCCTTCTTCTTTGTTCTCATTGTTATGTTGGAGTGTTCAGATTGACTAGACCAATACATGAGATGAACTGTGCAGTGGTTTCCAAATCAGGGAGCTCTCCATATAGTTTTCTTTCTATTGGGTTGCTTTGGGGCCAGTGTCTTGTACGGCCCTCATGGTATAGAGTGCAGTTTTGGAGGGCATGGTTGGCATGCTCTGG